ACACACAGGAGCAAAGGGGTCTTCAGAGGGCAGCATGACGGACCGTGTGTGTGTGTGTGTGTGTGAACATGTGAGCTCAAATAAATGATGTCTTCCCAGAGACACAGCAGTGACTCATCCACGGACGAGCACACAAAACAATCACCCATAAATCCCTGTGTGAAGGACACAGCCAAAGGATCGCTGTGTGTGTGTGTGTGGTAAACTCTGTCATGTACCCTTAAATCACTCCAGGAGTTGAGGAAGATAGTGGCTTCGCAGAGAGAGTTCGGTTTGTGTTCTGTGGTAATCGTTCGAGGGCCGAGGTTGTAAATGTCACGGCGCATTTGCTGTACGACGTTGTGACGACTGTATGTTTGACTGTCTGCTCACCCGGCAGCTCGAGTGCGTCTGGTCAACCGATGGCCCCCCCGTCACGCCACAAGGGCACAGACTGGCCATAATTACATGAAATCCCTCTAAAATAGCCAGAAATAACACTGTAGCGTAGTATATGTTAGAGCGTAGGGTTCATTCCATATAAAAATATCACTCTGCTCACGACAGGGTGTTTACACCCGAAATGCTGCGTACACTCACCTTTTTTTTTCGTTTTACCATTTTTAAGTAATGTGGCTTCCCTGGCGTGTTTTTGCATCCTGCCTGCTGGTGTCACGCCGTACGATTTTTATCACAACGTCTCGCTTTGATCAGCACAGAGACAACAGCAAACTCGATTAAAACCCAAGTTTATTTGCAAATATATACATTTAGAGATGATATAAAAATAAAAACTTCTGGATGGACTTAAATTATTCTACTTTCTTTGAATTACGTTTGTGCATTTCGCACGCACGGCCTCCATCAGCAGGTCATCCGGTTGACCTGGCGTTCGGCCACATGGGATTTACTGATGACACCCGCCGCTCTTCCCCAACCCCTCAGGTTCATGACAGAGGCAGCCCGCCGGGAGCAGGAGACCATGAAGAAGAAGGCCACGCCCAAACTGTCCCTGTCCCTCACCGGCGGAGTGTCCAGGAATAGCACGGCCACGCCTCCTCGACACACCAGCGGTAACCTGACGCCTCCCGTCACCCCCCCCATCACTCCCTCCTCCTCCTTCCGCAGCAGCACACCTACAGGTACGACAGGTGTGTTTGTCAAAATGTCTGCGTGAGACACAGAAAGACGGGATCGTTTGCACTTGCGTGGTGACTGGAGCCGCTGAAACTGATTCGGGTCGATTTACCCCGGCTGGCGGTTGGCCGTTCTGATGAGACCCCGAAGACACGTGAATCGAACGCAGCTTATTTCATGGTTAGTGTAGGAAAATAAACGACACTTTTAATACATTACATTACACATAGCTGACGCTTTTATCCAAAGTGACTTACATTGCATTTTTAACCCATGGTTTTTTGCCCTGGGAGCGATTAGGGGTTACGTGTCTTGCTCAGGGACACTTCGACATGGGACCCTCTCTATTCAGTAACGTAAGCGGTCAAACGTTTAATCTTTGAACCGAGAAGGAAATGGAAACTACAAGAGGCTGAAAGCTCAACCACTGTCTTCTGCTGTGTGTGTGTGTGTGTGTGTGTGTGTGTGTGTGTGTGTGTGTGTGTGTGTGTGTGTGTGTGTGTGTGTGTGTGTGTGTGTGTTGAGTTTGTGGGCTCCTGCAGTGAGCAGACCAGTCAACACTCTGCTAATTACATAGCAGCTGTCACGCTGTGTGTTCGCATGGGGCCGTGTGTTGCACAGCCCAGAAGCAGATGTCCAATTCCAGCCCAAATGGTTCCAAACGTAGTGTTAGGTCTGGGCTTATACGCCAGCGCAGCTACACACATTCACACACACACACACTCACGTCCTCTCTTCGACATGTGCCAGGGTGCCATCCATTTCCTCATGCTGAGGTGCAGCATTTCCTGTGAGATGGTGGGGGGTCAGTGGGCCTTTATGTGTGTGTGTTTGTGTGCGCGTGTGTTTGTGTGTGCGTGCCTGAGCATTTGAGTAATGTGGTATGTAGATGTGTGTGTGTGTGTGTGTGTGTGTGTGTGCGTGTGCGCATGCATTAGAGTGGAAAATGCACATTTTCCAGGCTGAGCAATGGGGATCACTCCCACTTAATGATCTCTTTAACAGTGCCAACCCCTGCGTTTTGACTCACAAGACTACACGGAGGCACACAACACACACACACACACACACCACGGCTGTTTTGTCCTAACAGCGCTTTCATCGGCTGCGTGCGGCTAATGCATAAAAAAAGCAGCATGTTATAGAGAGAAGTATTAATAACAAGCCACAAATCATTTCTGTTTTGTTGAATTCCCAAGACATGATGTATCTCGGGGGCAAACACCCCCCCATCCTGATCGATTACGTCTGGGATGCCAAGCTTTTTCTTTTCTTTTTTTCCCCCTTCTTTGCGGCGTGTCTCCATGGTGCCTTCAGGCAGTGAGTATGACGAGGAGGAGGTAGACTACGAGGAGTCGGACAGCGACGAGTCGTGGACCACAGAGAGCGCCATCAGCAGCGAGTCCATCCTCAGCTCCATGTGCATGAATGGGGGGGAGGAGAAGCCGTTCGCCTGCCCCGTCCCCGGCTGCAAGAAGAGATACAAGGTAAGGCCCCCGCGCCGCCATGGGACACGAGGTTCAGGCGCTCGCACGCCGCCCACACTGGGCCTTTTGTGTGAGTATCACATGTGTGGAGTTTCTTTTTCGAAGAAGCACATCATGAATCAAAAAAATGCCCGATTGGAGGCAGTGATAAATGCTTCACGGTATATTTGCTTTGGTTGAATGTTATTGCGGCTGTTAACAAAAAGCTCATTCAGCTTGTACCTTTTCAGGCCAAAACAGTGACGTGGGATGAAGTTGGTGCAGGGTCTGACATCTGACATGTAGCACAGCAATGAGTGGTCATTAAGAAGCTACGGCTGTCAATAGATTATACAATGTGATGATATTAAATGGTGTCCTACTGTTGTGTTTTCTAGCTTTGAATTGATTTAGCGTTATGTGTTAAGTGTTAAGACATGAAAAGGTCAAAAGCCCCGAGCGAGAGCTCAGGGCTCTGAGGCCGGTTTGACATCATAACGAAGCCGAGGAATTTAAACTTCCGGGTTTGTCTCGTGATGCCACTGGGCCCAAGAATATCCCCCCCCCGAAGGCTTTTCCCAATGTCAGTCCGTGGGAAAAAAAAAGCTGTCTGTAACTCGGCGGATAATTTCCTGGGATAAATCAGCTTCCCAGTGTGAGCGCTCAAACGCCCCTTATTCAGATCAATGCATCTCCTCTTCCCCGTCTCCTCAGAATGTGAACGGCATCAAGTATCACGCCAAGAACGGCCACCGCACGCAGATCCGCGTGAGGAAACCCTTCAAGTGTCGCTGCGGCAAGAGCTACAAGACCTCGCAGGGCCTGAGGCACCACACCATCAACTTCCACCCGCCCGTCTCCACCGAGATCCTGCGCAAGATCCAAGGCTAGAGGCCGCCGCTCGCACAACTGGTCCGGACTTTCCTCACCCGACCCTTTTACCCCCCCCCCCCCCTCCCCCCCTAAAAGATCAAGTGCGTGCTTTAACTTTTTTTTTTTTGTAACTTTTTTTCACCTTTTTTTCTTTTAAGTGCTACGTTATTGTTTTCTACCCATTGTATATCAATTGTATTTTTGAAGAAAACATATGTATCTTTTTTTATTTTTTTTTATTCTTGTATATTTGCACATTCGTATATATATGCTATCACATTGTTTTGTTCTCTATTGTTTGACTTGCATACGGTGCTAAATGTAAACAACAGAAAGAAAAGACACAAAAACAAAAGTTATGAAAGAATTTGGGAAACGTAAAAGACGAGTGCAACCAAGCCCCGCCCCCCTGCCCACTCGCCTGTGAGTGGAGTGAAGTTGACGTTGGAGCTGATCTGAGTTCAGCGGTCGTCTCACCGCCTTCACCGCAGAGATTTCACTGAGCTCAGATTTGTGCCTTTGCAGTAACTTCTGAGGGTTTCAGTGCGAAAGTTAAGTTATACTTTAAATAGATGTATTCATATATAAACAATAGAAAGATACGTATGTGTACATAAAAATATATAAAAGTATTCATGAGCATAGACATATAGTTACACTTTATTTTCAAGCTTTATTTTATATATATTCAATTTTCTTTTGTCTGTTCTTGCATCAGAAAGTGTTTTTTTATTCCTTATTTGGTCAACGGTCAAATAGCCAAACCTTCTCCCGCAACGCCCGAGAGGCAGAGAGCCACTCTTGGGTTATGTGCGATCGAGAAGGACCTCTCAGAACGCGGCACAGGCCGACAATCCATATGTTGAACACTTCCCCCCCGCTGGGGGCCATCCGTGTGTCATCCGTGTGTTTCATATGTCCACGGTTTCCTCACTCAGAGTGCCAGAGCTGTGTTCAAAAGACTTAGCCGCAAAAGTCGGTTAAGCATCATGTTCTATTCCAGTTGCCAAGATCTGTGTTGTTGATCAGTTTTTTTTTTTTTTTTAAACATGTTGCCAACAGCTCTCCACTGCCAAACACTGACCATACCATGTGCCTGATGGGGGGAGGGAGGGAGGGAGGGAGGTGTGCGGGAGTTAAAATGGTTTTGCCAAACGACTTCCCGTCTCCAGATGCGCATGATTGGATGTTCATCGACGGAATGTTTTCATGCATGCTTTCTGTGTCGTGAGAAGAGGAATAGCGCGTGAAAGGAGATTTGTATTTGAAAGAGATTATCACCTGTGTGTGTGTGCGTGCGTGTGTGCGTCATGCACGTGTTTCTTAAGCAGCATCCAAGTCATCAGCCTGTAGTGTTACTGTGTTGTGTGTGTGTGTGTGTGTATGTGTGTGTGTCAGTGGTTAGATCTGTTGTGTGTGTGCGCGTCATGCTGCTGGTTCGACTCCTGTGGCGCAGGATGATGGCCGGCAGTGTTGCGTAATGTTGTGTAGCGGTAGTCAACCTGTTGCCCCTGACTAGAAATCCTTCATTGGCTCTATGAGAAACAAGAGCGAACGCACAACGTTCCAACACACATTCCACACGATCGTGCTCGCAAGTTTGAAACCTGCAGGATGTTTTTTTGTTTTCTCCCCACCCTTTGAGTGAAGGGTACGGTGACCTCTGACCTGCACACACCCTCCTGTCCTCCAGGCTGCTGTTGCCATGGGAACCACTGGGTTAGCATGGCTGGGAGACTTATTTTAATAGACCTTTTGATACTTCATTTTTAAGTCTTTACAGGAGGGACAGCAGAATTGTTTCTGGTATTTGTTTATTTAAATTATTTCTGGGGGTTGAATAAACAAATTATTTAACTCTTAATTCCTATTCAATATACTATTATGGTTATTGCAATTACTTAAAACGCCTTCAACTTGTGTGCTACCTAACAATAAGCAGAAGTGTGTGTGTGTGTGTCCCTGAAAGACATCCGTATCCATTCCAACGCCCCGATAAGTGAACCAGCATCTCCCAAGCGTAGGTAACCCTCTCAACGTGCGTCCATGGTCTTTCTACCCCGACAGGAACCCTGAGATAATGGTTCGCGTGCGATAGAAGAGGCTTCATTCCTGCCTGTTTTCTTTTTTTTTTTTTTTCCCGGGGGGGGCGGAGGAGGAGGAAGAGTTTCCGCGGCAGAGGCGGGTTGAGATGGACGGCGACTGAGAGTCTGCTGTCGGGAGCTCTGTCAAACACTCGTAAAAACCATCCCCGCTTCATGGACACCCCCGTCACCATGGCAGTAGTTTCAGCTCGACACAGGGTCCAATTGCAGTATTACACATGTGGGAGAGGAGGAGGGGGGGCTGTGTGCAGAAGGAGGAGGGATTTCAATATACTGTGTACAGTGAATGTATTGTAACGTGTCTGTCAAGTGCTTTTAAATTATATTTTCGTATGTAACGTGGAGACCAATGTTTCCTTTTTGTACGGGGGGCGCGCAACTGGTTCTGAGCAGAGTGACTTGTAAACGATGTCAAACTGTCTTTCTATATATAAAAAAAAAAAAAAAAGTGAAGCTGCTTAAATGTAAACAGGAAAAGACTGAAAAAAATTAATAAAAATGACAAATAAAAGCTCTGTAGCTCGGACGGCTGGTCGCGTCTTTTCTTCCCTTTGCAGCACATAATGAAGAAGAAAGCGTTTCAGTTGAATGCATTAAGACAAGCTTGCTTTATTCATAGAGATCTTTGCAGTACACACCTGAACCTCCTTCCTGACATTCCCACATGAAAAGGGCCACACACACACACACTTGCCTTGTGTTTACTGGGCATGTGCAATTTTTAAGTCCTGAATACAACACTGTCAGGGGTCACTTTGTAGCTAGACGAGCGGGGATGTGGAGACACACACATATAAATGACACCCACTCATGATTTGGACGCAAAGCAACTGATTTCTCTTCACAGTTTGTAACGTTAAAACTTGGAAGTACGTAACAGAAGTGTCTGCAATTTAGTGTCCTGCGCTCCGTTGGCCTAAAACGTGATCGAGCGAAATAAAAGACGAGTGAAACATCGTTGGTCCGTCATTCTTTCATCACTGAAACATGAACGATGACGGGAGGCGGAGTCACGACAGTAATTCACAGGTCTCTCCACAACTTATACTTATTTTCATATGTACAGTACATTCAGAATGAATCCTTTTTTTAGTGCAGATACATGAAAACGTAGTGCTGTAATATCGCTTCCCATTCAAGTCAACATTTTTTTCCAACACTCAATTAAATACAAACAACCCCATGAAGTCCCATATTCACATCTCGCTCTGCATTTACACTTAAAAAATTATAATTATAAGGATTCATTTTCCTTCAGCCTTTCCGAACTTTAGAACATGTGGACAATTAAAAGAGGAAGAAAAAAGCTTGTCTGCATCAACACGCGAGAGTCAGACTGATTGAAAATAATATCTGGATAGGCAGAAAAACGACGTACTGAAAGGCTTTCTCTTCAAACACCTGGTTCCAGCTACAACTCACTCTTTAAGCAGCTTGCATTTTGAACACTTAATGAATGCATGCACTACCGATGCTGCTTTAGTCCCTTTGAAGCAAAAAGATGAGCATGAAAGACCAAAGTGAGGAACCGAGGGCTGATTTTGCTTTCACCAATGGCGTGTTATTAGTCATAAATCCCCCCCAAAAAGTGCTAATGATTGTATAACAACAAAGACACCTTGACCCGATCGAAATGAACTAATAGCTGAGACACACATTTATTTACCCATACGATAAGTCAGAATTGGAGCTCCGGCCTTCATTCGATCTGCTCGAAGTTGAGCAGATAGAATTGGAGCTCCGGCCTTCATTCGATCTGCTCGAAGTTGAGCACGTGGCCGTCGAAGTGCGTGAGCACGTGCCTCTCGAAGAGCTGCTGCTGACAGTTGAGGGGGAACTGCTCGGAGCAGACGGGGCAGACCTTCCAGTGGCTCTCCACGTGCTGCTCGAAGCTGCGCTGCTCGAAGTGGGGCGGGAAGATCACCTCGCACAGCGGGCAGCGCCTGTGGATGCTACTGCAGAGAGGAAGAGGAGAGGAAGAGGAAGAGGCCGGTGAGAGGCGTGTGAAAGCTTGACATTCGTAAATCACAAATTCAACAATAGAGGGTTTTAGCTGCCAAAGTTCCCTTTTGAAACAGCATGCCAGATTATGTTGTGTGTGTATATATATATATATATATATATATATGTACTGTGTACTGGATATTATACATATTGTGTCTACAGTTTGTATGTATTTGATGTGTATGTTTTGTCTTTAATTCCCCTTCCTCTCCTGGTTTATTCCCTCCACAAACAGACGACCAGTTGGGTTTTTCTTTTCATTTCATACTTCACAGATAAATAAAACATTGGAAAAGCAAATGAACAGATCGTCGTGTGGATGAAGATCCAACCCCCCAGGATGGAGTTGAACCGATTCTTCTGAAACGCATTCATGGGTCTTGAATTCCTTCTTAGTTTTATTTTTCAAACACTGTCCCCTTTCCTTAGTTTTATTTTTAAAACACTGTCCCCTTTCCTTAGTTTTATTTTTCAAACACTTTCCCCTTTCCTTAGTTTTATTTTTAAAACACTGTCCCCTTTCCCTGACTGCTCTTTTAATCATCCATTTACTGTACAGATATGTGTGTGTGTGGGTGGGCACACTACCTGGAGTCAAAGCAGAAGCTGCCCCTGGCTTCTCTACGTCTACTGGACTGATGATCACAGGACGGCTGAGCCCCATCAGCAGCCTGCGAAACACAAGCAAAAGGATGGACGCCATTCGCTCGTATGTACGTAACACGTGAGGAGAACGGATCGAGAGGCTGGACCTCCCACGACCCCTTCTGTGATGTTTCCGTTCTAACGTTGTAGCCAGTTTGCTCCCGACGACAACGAAAAGACACAATCTGACGGGACACAAACTGATCTCGGGTCTGTCCCTTTGCGAAAGAAATCTCCCCTAATTACTCTCCGAGCCCTTGTTATCGCCGCCCCTCGTGAGCTCCGAGGGAGTGACGTTAATTAGAGCTCTATGCAAATGAGCTCGTCGCTTCAGCTTTTAAGGGCAAACTGCGATTCCCTTCATCCACTGAGGAGGAGGAAGAGGAGGAGGAGGAGGAGGAGGAGGAGGGAGAGGGATTGCCGTGACAGCAGTTCTTTGAATGCTGACAAAACGAGGTGAGGGCGAGAAGGCTCAGTGCGACATGCATTTAAGTTGCTTTTAAATCAGGGTGAGGTGCGGGGAAAGAATATCAAACGTACCGCCGATTGAGATCAAAATGATGCTGTGATCAACTCTGGCTTCCTAAACTACGAACAGACGCTTTTCCTTGTGGATCACATGATGTATGCGGATAAAGTTTCATTCAAACTCGTTTGGCTCGTTAGCGTTGTTGTCCGCGTCGGTTGTGCACTCACGTTGCGCGGCTCCTCCGCCGCATTCTCCAGACACTCGGGGGGGCTGGTGCTGCGGGAGGGCTGGATGCGGACCACCTCCCGGTCCCAGCCCGGCGCCCCGGGGCCCTCGGCCGGGGGCGCCATCGGGGGCGCGCAGGGAGGGGCGCAGGGCGGGGCCTCGGGCGGAGGACGGGACACGTGCTCCAGAGAGAGCGCGACGACGTCCGTCCGGTCTGGAGGGGGCGGGAGCAGACAGAGGGAGGGGGGGTGCGGGGGGGACGGAGGTTAGGAGCAGCTAAGTAGAAGAAGACGCCAAAGCCTTTCACTTACCGCCGCCCGGCGCGTCCTCGGTGGAGTACGGGTTGCCGTACTGCAGCTCGGCGGGCCTGTGCGGGACCAGCGGCGGTGGGGAGGGGTCCTGAGGGTACGGCAGGGGGTAGCGGAGCACCATGGGCTGCCTGACCTCGGCGCCCTGCGCGCCGGCCCCCCGCTCCCTCTGCCTGCACACGAGGCGCTGCAGCTCCTGAGCGGGAGGCAGAGACGAGACTCAAATCCAACCCGTCTACGGCGTCGCTTCGAAACGCAGCAGATGGCGAAGCACGAAGAGGCCGAACATCACGCAATGGTTATTTTCATCTTTTTCCTTTCACAATGAACCCTATTTATTCACACAATACATTTGCTGCAGGAAAAAGAAACTCTCCGCGCCACTTTTTCCACCGTTGATTTTTTTTTTTTCAGCTCACAGTTAAATTTACTGCTACATAGTTTCTGCCCTTTGTGATTATATATGAAGCAAGAGAATTAGTACCCTACTCATTACTGTAATGGGTGTCAGACTCTCTGCTTTGCTGACGGAGCCCGCCCCACCCAACCCCACTTTTACTTCCCTCCTTCCTCTCGCTATTCCCCAGGTTGACCTCCTCTCTTAAAGACTTCATTAGTGCGCAGCTATCAGGTTTAACATTTAAACCAGGGTTGGGAAGGTGAAACAGACACGTCGCGTGGCATTTGCACTGTCTAATGGCGCCGTACCGATGAGCAGGAGAAGCAGGTAATGATGTATCAATTAGTGGGTAGTGTGGAGAAGGGAAAGCAGCCGCCGCAGGGACGAGTTCAGACTCTGCATGGACTTAATGCGGCTATCATCTCGACAAACACATGTTGCATACGGGACATGATTTTGTTTATCGGAAGCGTTATTTCAGTATCGATGGTCGCATGCAGGACCACACTGGCTGAAATTCAAATTTGATTTCTTCTTTCATGTCATGTCTTTATGTCGAGCTCATGTCTGTTTATGGAGATGAGCCGAAAGGGAGCAGCGCCAACTCCCCCAAAAAGCCTGCACCTCTTGCAGTTGCTCCTTTTCTCGGAGGGCCTGAGCGAGGTTTCGCTTCAGTTCTGTCACCTCGCTGGCTCGCTCCGCCATGTGCACCTGCAGGCAGAAAACACACACACAAGGAAACCAGCGTGAACAAGAATGTACAAAAAAGGAAAACGTGCGCTTCTCATAGGAATCCTCAAGGTGATGAATAATCAACACGGGCATACAGGATGTAAAGCAGGCTTTTACATGTTTAAGCAGGCTTAATAAATACTTAGACCTAATCAATGGAAAGCGAGAGCTCTACAAACGGATGCAGGTCTAAAAGTAACAACTCAGTAGAAATGGGGACTGGATCTTCAACATGTGTGTTAGCTGACAACGAGGAATACAAGTAGGCGCGCACACACGGGCAGGCCAACAAAATATTTGGTAGCTTGTGTTTTGTTTGACCTGGAGAGGCCTCGAATGTGCGTCGCTTACTCTTGAGAACGCTCACTTAAAAGCCACAGAAACGTGGTGTTTGTGGACCAGGGGATGGTGGTAAATCTCCAGCCCGTCTAACAGGACCGACCCTGTGGGATCCCGGCTTCTCTTTCTGCTCCGTGTCCGTCTTTCCTACTTTTTTCACCCGTAACTCCTGTTTTTGTCTCCTCTCTCTCAGCCCCTCCAACCCATCTATAGTAAATCTTCAGTGCACCATTAGAGGGTTGAAGTTCAGGTGAAGGGATTTTGCAGCAGACCTCCCCCCCCCCCCCCCTCCCCCTCCCCCCACCCCATGGTCCATCCTCTGGGTGGCTGATGTAAACAGCCGTAAAGCATGGCGCTCTGCGGCTGCCTCTCATGTCCGTCTCCGGGGGCCGCCGGCCCCAGACGGGGGACTCTATCAAAGACGGGGGAGGGGGGGGCCTTATTTACGGCGCCGACAAACACACACTCACTCAAGGAGATTAAACACCAGCAGGTACTTTGGCAGACATTCGCACGCAAAACGGGCGCAATGAGCTCAAGTGGTCGTATTGAATCACACAGACACACACACACACACACACACACACACACACAGTGGAAAAGTGAAAATGTGCTACTCTGTGACTAAGGGTATTGTTTCTACTTATAACACGGTGTTAAGACAACAGACCAACAATTGTTGCAATTATAGTAGGAGAAATTCTCGTTCCAAAATATCAAATATTAGTTAATTAAATACATTTTTTATAATTATTATTGTAAATGTAATGGTTTGTTTGTTTTTCCAATCAGTTAATAACCAATGAAAATAATCATAAGTAGAAGCACATATTCTGCAGAAAAGGAATTCACAAACGTCGTATCGTGTCTTGGTTCACGCAAAAATGTCTTCCTAAAATAAAGTAATTTATTTACTTACACTCTCTAAGAGTAAACTTCATAATAAAGGTCCATTATGACTGGATCACAAGTTCACTTTCCTTGTGTGTGCAACTACATCCAGAGTCAAAACTAAATGCACTGGGAAATTGAGGAGGGCGAGTCGCTGTGTGCAGTGAGGATGATGATGGAGGGATTGGGTGTGTGTGCACGTCTTCACTGGACCATGCTATTCGTGTTGTACCTCCCGCCCGGGTTCACGTTAGTGCGTCTCACCCTGAATCGCTCCTCCTCGTCGGCCAGCCGCTGTTTGAGCGTCTCGTTGATGGCGCACTGCTGCCTCCACTTCTCCTCCATCATCGCCAGCTCCTCCTCCACCGAGCGCGTCTGCGCCTTCTCCGCCTCCTCCAGGCGCCTCCCCTCCAGCTCCGGCAGCAGCACCGGGCGCTCCGCCCCGTCCCCCCTTTCCAAGGCCTCCGCCTTCGCCGCCACCTCCGCGCCGCCGCTCCGCCTCTCGTTCTCCACCTCCACCCAGCTCGTCATCCTCAGGCTCTCAGGCAGACTGTCCCTCTTGTCTTTTTCTTCCTCCCGTTGGTCGGCCTCCACCTCGGCCTCCACCTCGGCCCTCTCGCTGGTTGTTTTCTCTGTCTGCCTTTCTTCCCTCTCCATGCTGACGTATACATCAGCCTCCCCGTTAATGAGCGGCGGTCTTATTGTCGTCCCAGCAGCTTCTTGTAGGACTGCAGCAGCTATGTTTCCTTTAAACCGGAGTAGAAGGAAGATTATACAGAGTTAGCAGGACAGTCTTTGATTGAGGTATTAACCCCCGAACAGAAGTTATTATTAATAGAAATTGTACAGTGAGGGAAGAAGGTTTCATCCAGTCAAGCACAGTGAGTCACACACCTACTTCTTGTATTTCTATCTTTCATTTACAAAAAGCAAATCAGAAAAATAAAACAAAACGAAAACGATTTATGTCATGTTATGTCAGTACACACACACACTTTTGCACGTAGGGTGTGTGTACCTGCTGTCGGTGACTCCGGACTAGGCGTCAGAGGCTCCTGTGTCGTCTCAGTGGATGCATTTCTCTTCTGCTCCTGCAAAAAAAACAACACACGCACAACAAAAGGCAACGTGTTGACAAAATCGAATGGCAACTTCCCTCGGCATTAAACTGAGCCGAAGGCTACATTTGTTGAGTTTTACTACACAGTACTCACTCCCTGTGACTCGGTCGTATTCAGTTTGGCCACCTGCCTCCGGAGGCGCTGGCACTCCCGGTACTTCTCCTTGTAGTGCTCGGCCGCCATGTGAAGACGCAGCTTCAGCTCCTCCACCTCTCTCTGCAGTTCCGCCTCGGCCTCCGAAACCACGCCGTTGCTGGGCGTCGTGGCCTCGCCGGTGCCGACGCCCTGGCGGAGAAGGACATTCGGAAGATCATTTTGTAAAAAGGCCTTTTCCACGACTCCCCCCCCCCGCCCCCACCCCCCGGCGAGCGAGACTGACCACTTCCTTCTGCGCGGTGCTCCTCATGCGGTCCAGCTGGCTCTCCATGCGCTGGCACTCGGCCTGGGCGTCGGCCAGGCTGGCGCGGAGCTTGTCGGCCTCCAGGCGGGCGCGGTACAGCTCGCTCATGGAGTGGTCCCGCGCGCTGGCCGAGTCGCGTAGCTCCGAGGCCAGCAGGGAGGCCTGCTGCCGCGACGCCTGGAGCTGCTCCTCCGCCTGACGCAGCTGCTCGCGCAAACGGGCCAGATCTGCCTGGAGACACGTGGGCGGAGCGTGTATAGGCATACTGATTTTACCATACAGACAGACACACACACACACACACACACACAAACACCTACGGCTTGTACCTTGTCGGCCTTGTGTGACAGCAGCTCTTTCTCCAGGCCGTCCCGCTGGGCCACGCAGAGCCGGAGCCTGTCCAGCTCCTCCTGGAACTGAGCGATGGTCACCTCCCGGTTCAGCTCCACCGCCTTCAGCATCTGCAGCTCCGCACTCAGCTTGGTGTTCTCCAGCTCGGTGCTGCGCAGGTGGGCCTGCACACGGGGGACACGCGGAGAGACGGGAGACAAAATGCAGCAGCGGTCAGAGGCTCAAACGGGCTCAAAGTGAAAATGCACTTTTCTTTGTGTTGGTCATTGCACCTTGTAAAGGTCTCTCTCGTCCTTCTCGTTCTTCAGCTGGCTCTCCAGGAGGTCTTTCTCCGCCGTCAGCTTTTTCAGGCGGTCACGCAGACTAGGAAATAAAATCGAAACGTTGTTTTTACAGCTGCTATCCAACGGCATTGTTGCATTCGTGCTACTGATTAGTCCTTCAGAAGACCTTTGAATACAAAACAGCTACTTAACTGACGGGACACAACCTGCTGAATGTCAGTCAAAACTACATTGTGACCCGCCATTCATCCCCGAATGGGATGGAGAAGAGGATACAATGCAATACAATATAAATGGATTGAATACCACTGTTGTTGACCTATGTTTAAATTTTACTTTGACATGCAGGTGTTGTTTTTATTATTTTTGAAGCAGTGGTTGGCGCTTCGCATTAATCTGGCCAATAAATGTAGACAAATGGAAGGATGAAGACGCCGAAGAAAGCGGAATTCGGGCAGGAGCTCGTCCCCAAATCTGCACAGCGGTGTTCCTCTAAGACAGCGAGGAGTCGGGCGGACCGCTCACCAATCGAGCTCCGTCTCCTTCTGCAGGCCCCTCTGCGTGACCCCCAGCAGGTCCTCCTCCAGCTGGCGCACCCGGTCGGTGGCCTCCGACAGCCTCCTCCTCACGTCCTCCCTCTCTTCGGACAGGCCCTGCGACGAGCGCAGCAGCTCCTGCGGGACAGAGAGAGGCGGCCGCGGTGAATCACAGCGGCCCGAGCGCGGCGGAGGAGGAAGAACGAAGAGGAACTCGTGCAATACATTCACGATTAATCACGGATGGTGATGCATTGCATTCGCCATTTTTTGGGCATTGTTCCTAGACTGGGTTGCCACTTTATTAGGTACACGCATTCAAAACCACAGCAGTCAAGATTTTTGCTACTGGAATATTAATTTATATTTGCAAATAATGCATGCATATGGTTAAAGGTATTGTGTATATATGCTTTTTAACCTGGTTTCTACTACGTTTTTATCATTTTAAATAGTGCTTTCACTGTACCTCCTGTCATCAGTTGACATTTTTTCCGAACCTCCAGTGACGGAATGATGACTGACATGAGCCCTTTTCACACACACTCAAGTGTGTCTGACGTTATTGATCGACAGTAGGATCTGGATCAACCTGTCTAGTACCAGTGAATTCCTTACCGTGAATTCCCGGAGGAGCACCACAATTCACATGAGGTTCGCCTTCCTCCGCGGAGACGCCTTGTTTCAACTTGCTACTGATCAGCAGTGAAGGATGCTAAATCATCCATAGCTAATATCGGCTGTGACAGAACAACATTCCTCTGAACACGCCTTGCCTCCTATACGTCAGGTGCTCACACATACCCGGCAAACACGCACGCACAAACAGAACGCCGCACATTCAAGTATGGACGTATGGAGAGAGAGAGAGAGAGAGAGAGACGGATGACACGCGGCGCAGCCGTCAATCCACACCTGCAAACACCGACGCATACTCGGGGCCCGTCTCCCTCTGGGCACGGCTCCGCGCGGATTACTGTACGATTTTTATGGCTGGCGTTTGGGAAGCACTTTAGCACTGCATAAAGACCTTATAAAAAGTGTACTCGTAAAATTAGCAGCCACAAAATATGTACTTACGTTTCCATGTTAAACTCTGGATATTTTCACCGGGGTGGCGTGAGCTAAAGTGCTTTCTATGAATGCTCTACGAAAGGGACGCACGCCTCACACGAGCCCTACATCTATAGGTGGACATACTGTTGGAATGAAAAGCACCGTAATAGCAGAGTGTGTGCGTGTGTGTGTGTTACCACGTAATTTATGGCGATTTTGTCCTCCGTAAAAAAACGAGCGGCGCACTAACTCGAAGCAGCCTGCTCTTCCTCCCAGAGCTGCACTAGGGGGCGATAAGAGACTAGATTCAAACTCACATTTCCCTTGGCAGGCTTTGACGGTTTTCGCCTCTCCCTCCTTCCCGCGCCTCCCTCTCTGCTCGCTGTGAGTCGACTCCAGTTTTGTAGGTGCGTGTGTGCCAAGATACCGCTTATCAAATGAGCAACTCGTAAATGACAAACCCTGACACCTGAGTCATCCGCGTGATTGACTGAACAGAGGAAATAGAATGAGAAGTAGTACAAAATATATATTTACACACACACACACACACACACACAGAACGACCGTGTAGTGATAACATAAGAGAAATTGTGAGTGAGAGAGGGAGAGTGCGGGACGGACGGGGAGAAAATAGACGGTGAGAAAGCAGCGGCCACCCGATCGCGTGACTGTGGTGTTTGTCCCCGAGGCTGGGCAGGGCTCCTTCTTTCAGGCAGGCGGTTTTGCGGACTACCCTCCTCTCATTCCACACACAGACTATAAGGGTTTGCAAGCGGGTGGCATAATGAGCGTGTTTGTGCGTGCTGCTGTGTGAATTCGCATTAGAGGGGCCCTGTGGTGTGGAACCCGAATGTGAGAGTAAAGGAGTGGGGGGAGGGGAGGAGGGAGTGGGGAGGAGGGTGTGGGGCGGGGGGGGCAGAGTGTGCGCACGAGCGCGCGTGCGAGTTGTTTGTGAGTTTGACGTCATGTTTGTTCACTCTGCGGTCGCGATGGCATCGTCCCCTGACGCCAGATGCCCGGGAAAAAGCGGCGTCCCATTTCTGCTCTGGCCCACTGAGTCGGGTCGTTAAAGGGGGGGAAAAGATTGGCGTGCACACACACACACACACACATTATATATATATATATATATTACACACGCACACACACACACACACAGACAACAGCACAAACACACGCTGCCGCTCTTTGTGTGCTTCTCAAACATGGCCACAGATTATTCATAAATTCAAGGTCTTTGAAGTCTTCAGACCTGTGATCGCTGGCGAGGAACCGGCTCCACGCGCGCACGCAGATGTGGTCGGTCTGTCTACCTACACGCTGACAAACAAACACACACGCGCAAACACTGTTGTCGGAGCCTTTTTTTTTTTTTTTTTTTTTCACGTGGCGGATTATTAACAATTCCATTTTTGCGGCGCTCAATTTTGTTTCTATTCGGGTTGATTAGACGGTGAGGATCTGCTGCGTTGCGAGCGGGACCGTTTGGATTAGCAATAACTAACCTCCAATTCGTTCTACGAGTGCATTCGCAAACGGCGGAATCTGCCGCATCGAGGGGAATGTGCGTTTCTAACCTGGTTGTGAGTCCGCAGCAGGCTGCACGTGTCTCGCTCCTGCTCGCGCTCCCTGGCCAGTCGTTTCTGCTCCTCCTGCAGCTGCTGTTTCTCCTCCTGAAGGAGGCGCATGGCCTTCAGCAGCTCCCTGCGCTCCTGCTGCACGTCCTCGACATGCTGCCGGGCGGGAGGGAGATTGAACGTACGGTGAGAGAAGGCGAGGGTTGGTACCTCACTATGTGATGGGACTGTTAAAGTTTAAAACACTGGGGAAATGTTGTAAGATGCACAGTTGAGGATTAAATTTGTGTTGTGTGATATGACACGCAACGTATCTACGGCTGTCTAGGACCGCAAAAACTTTTTTATTGATGCCAAAAGGAGGGATTAACTGTCCACAGAGAGGTCAGAGGTCACGGACGGGTACGGAGCCAAACCTCTGGATCTAGGCGGGGATCTATTATCTTCCCTGGACGACATTTTAACTGCGCCCGGGACCCTGAAAGAGGGAAAACGGAAGATGGAAGGGGCGAAACCCCTTTATCTCGCATACCTCCAGTAGGCCCGTCTTGGTGGTGACGACCAGTATGTCGGAGTTGCTGTCGTCCTCGGTAACAGTCAGAAGCTCTTCTGTGGGCGTGGCTGACCTGAACTGAAAGGGCGTGCTGGCTCCTCTTATGTCACCAACGTGTGTAACATAACAAAACTGGTAGAACTCTCCGTCAGATTTGGGAACGTAATACCCTGCGGGGAGATGAAGAGCGTGTGAACTCTTTGCGTTTCTTTGTGAATTTATTCATTTTGTCAGCTGGTGTTGGAAGTAGGCCAAGAGACTTACACAATTATTCCTTTTGAAATAGATACGACAGTGTATATGCAGAACGCGGTGCGTTGGTGACGTGTCGGGCTCGGCTGTCGGGGACGGAGGAGTAAGTACAGAACATCCAGCATCCGACCGGTTTTACACACCGCAGCGTGCTCTCATATTTTTACTGAGTAATATCTGACCGTTGCAGGCCCAGTAAAACCAGTTTGCAGGTCTTCAACCTGCACGTGTGTGTGTGTGTGTGTGTGTGTGTGTGGTTTGACTGGCGCTCAGGTCCCAGGCCGCCGTTTGCGGTTGTGTTCCCTTATTAAATAAAAGTGCTGGTTTTTATACATGCTGTAAAAAACGGAATATCCTTAATGCATACGGTGGTTATAGTGTGAGAGCGTGTGTGAGTGTGTGTGTGTACCTTGAAACACCACAGTCCTGTGCACAGTACTTCCTGGTTCATAGTTTTCAAGCGCAGGAGACCAAAGGAAGGTGTAGTAATCTCTGGCTGTGCTCCAACCCACCTATGGATGTGAACCACAACCATTATAAGACAATCTCACACATTCCTCATTGGGTTTTCAAAAACGAATGAATGAATGAAGAAATCTGACGCTCCTCTTCTCCACCCCCTCCCCTCAGTCGCTTCCCCCTTTTGGGCTCCCGGAAAAAAGAAAAAAAAAGGAGGGACTGTGAAGGTGTGACAAAGGATGTAGCGTTGCACGCGTGGACAACAACCAACGTGGAAATGAGAAGGAAGGAGTCGAGAGAAAAGGAGATCATTTTACACAACGCAGCGAGGGAGATTTCTATGGATTTCATGTGCCGTTAGGTGACAGATGTTGAAACAGAGCTGTGAACATCCTGCTTCGTAAAACTGTCATGGAAAAAACAAATAAAACCGCACACTCTTTGTGTCTGGAACACTTGAGCGACACACACACACACACACACACCTTGTTTCAATTACGAGAAACATATTTGTGACATGGATCTCGTAGATGAAGCATAACTGCTGCGGATACCTCAGGCGGTTTGTTTGAAATGAGGAAGTTTCTCCATCGGACAGCTGCTGGATCCCAATCTTATGTTACATTATGTGCAGTTGGCTGCCATAAATTATAGGAGCCAGAAAATTTCTTCATACGAATATTTGCGGAAGAAATATTAATTTAGGTAAATACTTACCTAACAATAGTAGAAAATAACAAATAATTACAACATTATAGGAACATTCGAATAAAAAAAAAAAATAGAAGAATCGACCAATACCTGAAAAGCATTGAGAAATGTTTTGGGCAACAGTAAATCAACTGAGCTCCTCAAAACACCTGTCAAAACGTCAGATATGATAATATCGTTGCATAAAACATAATTGCAGTGAGTGCCCTATTAAACCATTACACTCAGCACAATGCCATTCCATGCAAATGCAAAGTGTCAACATGGAAGCCCGAGCCAAGTACATTCTGTCCACATCCAGCAGTTGCTCTCTGCGAGAGGCTGGGCCGCCGCAAACGCCCGCCAGCTTCGCTTGTGTGCTCACGTGTGTTTGCATAAGACAGGACACACATAAATAATTTTGCTAATTGCAGAGTGAAGTTGACTGACGTTTTGTTAGGTACGGTGGCATTCCAACACAGGAGTGATGTTATAAAATAATCACAGGCAGAGCAGCTATCAATCAGTGGGCCGTGGTGTGAGGGAACGGCAAGATGACACCATAATTATACAGTCGCGCAACGGGTTTCTCCCCGAAGAAACATGCTACAACCGAAAAACCTCCACGGGGCATTTTGTGGGGAGTTGTGTGTTTGTGTGTTTGAAATACTAACCCAAACTTAACAGAGCTTTGACAAGGAAACAATGATGTGTTCAATGTATCACGTGTTGCACAGTTGGACGCGATGCTGGAAAATTAAAGAAAACTCCCTCGATCAGAATGTACACGGCTGATGTTGAACGTTCACTGCGTGCGAGTTGCAGCTTGAGTGCACTAACACGTGTTCCGCCACTAGGGGGTGTCTGTGCACACCTCAAACCAGCAGTGCCCCCCGTGTCTGAGTCATGCTCACAGTCAGCTCTTTGGCTCTGTCTCCACCTGTGAAAACAGGTAAACGCCTTTAGATGGGAAAGGTGAGAGGGAGAAAATGCTTGAATGCTTGAGTCATCTCTGCACAAAGGTATCGCCTCTGGGAGCCAAAAAAGTGACACCGCAGAATGTCGTCAATGTTGATGCACGGGAGCCAGATCTAATCAGTCATAGTTAAAAAGAAATTTTAAAAAGTCAACCTTTTGATTTTGACGTTTGAGTTCCAAAACATCCTGAGAAAAGTCAAGTTAAAACATGAGATTAATTAGCCTTTGTTTAGTGGCACGAGTTCCTTTCCTGTTGTAATCTAATGTCTGTCATTTGTAAAAGCAGACAGAAGTGGAACACATAAACACTAATCTTTGGATATACGTCCCTCTGGCAAAAAATAGAAAATCATCATCAGCTGAAATATATATCTATGTAGATATAGATATATATACCTATATAGAAGCGTGTGTGATCTCTTTTTGTTAACTTAATACTCATTTAGTCGCCTAGTGTTTGAAGTATGTGTGTAAAATATATACTATATGTATATATATATATATAGGAAATTAGATAGATAGATCTATGAACACACAAGCAGGCAGACGTGTACGTCAAAAGGATTAAAGCAGCGTGGTCTCTAAGCACCATCAAACAGGTTTCATTAGCGTGGATTACAACAGTTACATTTTCCAATTGACTTTTTTTTTTTTTCCATATAAACACGGCGTCTTTACACTTTTTTAATTGAACTGGTGGATTTGAAGTTTAGTTCTTAAACAACAGTAAAATGTTTGTCTTTTGGCTTTACGAGACATCAAGTTTCCTCGCTCACGTTTCCTGTTAATTACGTGTGAGATTTGATGGCCTCGATGAAAGAGCGGAGATAAGCGGGTGATGAGGTCGGTTAGCAGGAAGCAGAAGAAAAACTGATGGAAAGACCAGCGGGGGAGCGAAACAAGTGAAGTGTGTGTGGGGGGGGTGGAAAGAAGTCCTAATAAGAATCAGAGTGGTTCATAAAGGCCGCCAAATGTTTGCCAGCATCCCCCCCCTCCCCCTCCAAGCAAGACCTATTGCAACCAGCCCACCATGTACAGCCTTCCTCTTTCCGCATGCAGAACAACCGCACCAAAGCTGGTGGCGAAGGTTCAGACATGTAGTGAGGAGGTAAAGCATTAGTGTCAAGGCGGATGTACGCGCTTGTCTGCCGTCTGCAAACCCACGGCCAATTAATAAAACCGAAACACATAATCCGTCCAACAAACACGTCGATATGGGCTGGAAATAGTTCCAATATCTAAAGATCATCTTTTTTTTTTTTTAAACATAAAATCATTCAGAATAATAAAACGGCTGGTCCTCAATTGATTGTGTTTCGCTAAATGCGCGGAGAGAGCTGAAGCCGTACCTTGAAGATGCCCACCCAGTCTTTGGGGTTGGGGGTGATGAACGGGGTCAGGGTGTAGCGACACTCCAGCGGCGCCTGGGGCGGGAAACTCTTCCCCACGTTCTGGAAGATGACGTGGGCAAAGTTGGACGTTTCCATGACGCTGACGCTGCTGCCCGGCGACGAGTCCACCACCTGGAACGATGACATCGCACCCCGGCTGGTCACTTCATCTGTCTGGGGGGGACAAAAGAGGAGAGAAGTTGAGCATCGCACTCAAGTGAAAGAAAAGGTGCGTCGTTCAGTCGCACGAGCGCGTGCACAACAAAAAAAAGAGACAAATCAAATGAAAATTTTGTTGAAAATCGAACACTGTTCCCTCATCATCTCGGAACATGTAGAAACAGAGGTGCAGAATAAGTGAACAGCATATACCAAATCACGGCCTGGGTGTTTTCTATATTCCTCTGTGAAAGCAAATAGGGGGGGTGGAAACATGTGCTGTCCACATTGTGAAACCCTCAGAGGCAACTTTGTGATTTGAGGCGTTATAATTATTTTAGCCGGAAGTGCTGTAATATGATATTTCATATCACGTATTCACTACACAAACAGAGGTTTGTTTCATTACTTGCCTTTAGTGCCGAGCCTAAACACGAGGACGGCTTTGTATATAACAGCTGGGTAAATATTAAAATTTGCATTCCAGTTTTACCTCCATCAGTATTTCTGTGCTGTGGTATTGTAGCTCTGCTTAAGCTGGAGCTACCTTGTTTTGTCCCCAGCTGTGCAATGCAGATGTGTAACGTGGCTCTGGAGGAGCTTTGTCAGGCTGAAAGGTGATGATGACTTGGTGAGTGAATGTACCCGAGAGGACATATCGTGTCCAACGTCCTGACACATATTACAAGGTAGTGTCAACTTTCACTGCCCTTTAAAAAAATAAAAATGTGTGTGTCTTCCGAGCCCAGACCGCTTTAAACTCATCTTTTACAAAACAACGCCGTGCAGAACAACAGACCTCTGCTGCCCCACATCTCCACCCAACTGCCGAGGAAGATAAACGAAAGTGGCGCAGCAGATTCTCGATTCAGCAAACCGGGTTAAAAAAAAACACAACAACCCGACAGCAGCGGCGGAAACCCGTCCGGTGCGCACGTACAGCTTTCGGCCGTTTGGAACGCTGGACCGCCGGTTGGTCGGTCGGTCGGGACGCGGTGGTTATTCGCGGTGGCTAGGCGGCTAGCATTAGCTAGCGAAGGCCATGTCGTGTCAAGCCACCAGCTAGCCGAACGTGATCCCCCGTCGCTCTGCTAGCTCGACGCGGAAAGCGCAGGCGTGTATTTAAAAACCGAAACAGAAAGTGGCAGTACCCTCTTTTTTTCAGTTGAATTCCGCTTGCGAAATTTCTGCCGGACAGGACGATGTTTGTTTGTATTTTGGCCACCGTCCCCGTTGTTGACAACGCTCTCTGACGACGATGCGTCTCGCGCTGTAGAGGAGCAGATGATGCTGGACTTCCGGGATGCTGAGCAGCGTGATGCTGAGGATGCGACGGAATGAGAGATGGCTCCATGACTGGGGAGAACTCAGATAATTACAGAACTTAATTACAGGACCGGGCGTCCTCTTACTTTTGCTTTGTAGTCCTTCTGATTTACAACAATAACACATCATACATTATATTATTATATAGGGTTATATTTACTAGTATGTGCCAACTCCATAATGTCACAATTTCTTTTAAGGCTAAACATATATGATGCTCGTCGAAATAAATTGTTGTAAAATGTATAGATTTTTACGTTTCAGTTAATTTAAAGCGGATACTGTACACACAGGTCCGTCTAAAGGGAACTAGTTAAACTCACAGGATGTCCCGCCTTTGCCACGATCCTATTGGCTGCGGAAACTCGCCGAGCGCCGCGATTGGTGAAAATCACAGTCCGTCATCACTGTTCAATTTGGCTTCCCTGGCTTGACAGCTGTCACTGCACGCCGAGGTCAAGGAAGAAGAAGCATGGCTGCGTTGTTTAGAGGGTCGCGAAATATATTGTTACGTTGGACTAAACATGCCGACTTTGCTTTCGGTAACGTATGCCTTTATGTTTTGTGTCGTTTTGCTTCTGTCCCGTGGAGGCGAAACGGAGCGTTCTCGCTGTCAGCCCTGCTAGCTAGCTTGTTAGCAGTCTGAAGAAAGAGTGGATACTTACGGCTCGTGTTGGTAAAGTGCGACGCTGGACACGATGTCCCCGAGTGGACCGCCTGCTGCGGGCTGTTCAGTCTTGCGCCATGTGGGACAACGTGCTTAAAGCACATTGAGCGTAATGAAATGTGAAGCAACGAGCAGTAAGAAGCTAATGTGAAAGGCACAGTGAGTTCTAGATGGATGGATGGTGAGATCTGCTTTGGGATCTGAATACTTTTAATTATGCTTTAACGTCACGTGTTGTTATTCTCAGTTGAACAATTGTGTTTTTCTTGCTGTAATATTGCCACCACATCTACTCTGTCCCCCCTGCAATGCAACAGGGCGCTGTGGAAGCACTTTTTATTGTTCATAAGATGCTACTTAAACACACCACACTGGTCCTTTCCTCACTGCCTCTCTAGTAATGCTGCTGTTAACCCTGCATTGCATTCTGCTAAATAACTTTCCTCCCGAATACGGCGCTTTCCCTTTTCCCCTGCAAATGCCTTTACAAAGCAGAGGTGGTCCTTCACAGACAGTTTCAAAGCCCACATAACGTCAGCCATATTTGTATGAATATGTTAAGTTATTACTATTATTATTAGAATAAATGGATGTTTTATAGATGGCCTAAACTAGTGGCCATGTACACTCTAATCGACCGAATAAAGACTATAATCTCGCTGTTGGAGTCTGGTTGGTTCCTCTCTGTTTAGTATCCGTTAACCTGACTGGACCTTGAATGGGCCGCCAGTGTTTAGTAGCCTGGCCGGACGCCACAAAGCAGCTTGTGAGTTGCAGCGGGAATATTTCCTTTGTTTGTTACTGATTCTGAATAGAGCATCTCCGTCTTTAAAATACAAGGACAGCGGCTCAGTTGCTCACGACTGTCGGTTGGCCTGAACGCCGTGAGCTGTAAGGGCCCAAGTTGCTCACGCCACTTCCACAATACTTCCTGTGTTTTGAAAAGAGTTCCATAAACGTGCCTTGCTTTCATTAAGTAAACAGAATCAAGGCCGTTTTCTTTTACACCGAGGTGTAGAATGACTATTGGGACGTGCTTGTATCGCTCTGGACTTCGACAAGACAATCCCCCCCCACCTCCCCCCACACCCCTGAATGCATCTTTGTTCTCCTCCCTCAGTGTCAACGCGATCAATGGCCTCAAAGACCCCGGTGGGGTTTGTTGGTCTGGGAAATATGGGCAGCCCAATGGCCAAAAACCTCTTAAGAAACGGTTATCCTGTTATTGCCACCGACGTCTTCCCCGAGTCTTGCAAGGAGCTGCAGGACATCGGTGCTCAGGTAACACACACGTGGCCTTTTGAAGATTTAATAGATTAGATTAATAGTTTACCTTTTATTTTAGCAATATCGGCCAATGACTCTAATATTCAGGTGGTGGACTCCCCCGCGGAGGTGGCAGAGAGAGCCGACCGCATTCTCACAATGCTGCCCTCCAGTCCCAACGTCATTGAAGTCTACACGGGTCCAAATGGCATCCTCAAGTAAGTCTATTTCACCTTCACAGGCTCCCTATGTGACACCCGTGCATCCGCAGACGTACGTCGTTTAAAAACTAGTATAAAAGAACCGCACTATTGCAGCGTGTTTAATTAACCGGCGGATTGTATTATAACGAAAAGTGGTAATGCACTTTGTTTTGTCCTTTTCAGGAAGGTGAAGAAGGGAACGCTGTTAATCGACTCATCCACCATCGACCCTGCCGTCTCTCGAGAGATGGCAGCAGCTGCAGAGAAGATGGGCGCGGTGTTCATGGACGCTCCGGTGTCGGGAGGTAACGTGCACCTCCTTTTGAAACGCTGTCATCCTAGCCCCTCCATGCATGTTTGATCCCGTTATACCGTGTAGCTTGACTATTGGGATTTCATCTTTTTGACTAGTTCAAGGTGTCTAAAGGCTTCATTTAATTAAAGGAGAGGAGGGGCAGGTGGCTGTGTCAAAAGTAGAACCCGAATTCCAACCACTGCGTGCGGCCTCTTACCCCCTCAGTCTCACTTTTGAACTGTCTTACACTCTTTTGTATACCTAAACTGTGAACCTGTTGGGTTAGTGCTAGGACATGGGTTGTAATTACCGCGCGAGCCAGCCAGTAGGTGCCCTCTCCAGGTTTTATTGCCGCTTTTGACCGGGGGTCTTAAAGGCAAGGTTAAGGTTTTTAAGTTCTCATTATGTTGGTGCCGTCTGCTGGCGAGGGCTCCTTGACAGAGCACAGGGTCGCCAGTCGTCCCTTAATGGGCTGAGCCGCGCTGGAGAATCCTGTGTCAGAGCTTTTCATGTTGATGGAGCCGTAATGGCGGGTATCCCATGTTAGTGCCTTTCATGTCAGATAAAGAGTCATAAAGAGGAGAGAATCTGCCCTCGCATGGAGTGCAGGAGAAAGAAAAGGGGGAGATAAGACATGAAGGAGACACATTGCAGTAAAGCTGTCCATCTCTTCCTCACACACACACACACACACACACACACACACACACACACACACACACACACACACACACACACACACACACACACACACACACACACTCTATTCCTTCAGGTATGCAGCTACGTCCTGGCACTCCTGCACATGTGACTAATAACTGATCTCATGTTATCGGCTTTTCGTTGCAACAGCCTTTTTTAACTCATGCACAGAAGTCTCTGCAGCTCCGGCCGTGCGACTTGGCCCACACGTGCGTGTTTACCAGCTGGCGTCTGTGGGACAAGCCGACTGCAGTCGGCGAGATCAGAGCCTTAAACCTGTTACTCTCCCTTAACACACACGCTGTTTACATACCGTAGACGGTGCGTAGTTTGTGTGTGCGCGGTCCCCTGTGAAGGTTTCTTCCTCTCCTGTCACTTAAGTAAGCCTCTTTTTACTAGCGATGAGATGAGCAATGATTTACCCGCTGCCTCTGGCCTGTGCAGCCGGCTCTGCAGACGCTCTTCTTTCGTACACACATGCACGCGTCCTGCATTCACGCGCCCACCCATGTCACCGCCAGACGTCTCCAAGTCAGATTTAAACGGGCAACTGGCTCGTTAAGAGAAGATTCTCAGCGGAAAAGTGTGAGGGCTCTTGTAATCAAATTTAAGTGAATCGTGAAGCAAAAGTGCCGTCAAGGTTTGATATTATTGTAAATGGAAAACTTTTTTAGTGTTTGTCCGAAGAAACAAGTTAATTATGGCTTTAAGAACATGTAGTGTGTGTTTTTCAGTAATTAAAAAGAATCAATCCATTATTGCAAAGAAGTTGTAAGCATAAGAAAATAGATTGTTAATTGGCGCTCTAAAACGCACACAGTGGAATCTATAAGGAGTCATACTTGGAGGTGATGCTGTGACTGATAAACTGGGTTAAACCCGTGAAGACATACAGGTCGCGGATGACAAATTCAGCATGTGGCAACTTCATGGGAAATGGCAGACTTGTGTCCCTCCTTCCTCGCTCCTCTCTGTGGTTACATGCCCTGTTCCAACCAGGAGATGGCACCCTACCCAAATAGGGCATTGTCATCGAGACGTTTGCATGTCTGTGCGCGTCCAAGTGGGAAGGCAGCTCGGCCAGTACTCTTATTAATACTGTGTATCCGCAATGCAACGTAAAGGTAATACAAATTGTTTAGATACTTGTCTAGTTGTAGTAAAGCTGCTGCCATTTCTCTACAGATCACAGACACAAACAATGATACAATATAGTACACTTGATTTGAGTTAAATGAAGGCTTTGTCCGACCCTTCTGACCGAGGATATAAATGCACTCGCACAACAGACCAGCTGTGACCCTAAACTGCTGCAGACAGTCTCTGGTTTTAGCATTTTGTTTTTGTTTTTGTTTTTTCTTTGGAGATAAAGTGTGTGTGTGTTGTGTGCGTCACTAGAGGTTTGGCCACCAACTCTGGGATCCGAGTAACCGAGTCAAACTCCTTTTTGAGCAATCAAATAAACCTTTCTTCTCACGGGCATCTTGCTGGCTTCTCTTCTCGCACTTTCACCAGTGTCTTGGCTTCAATACACACACACACACACACACACACACACACACACACACACACACACACTAACTAGCCTCCGTATGGAGTTGAGAGAACATGTTGCTGCATAGACACTGTTATATTGGCTTTGTCACTGGTTCGTCGGGCCCGCCAACATTTGCTTGCACACACACACACACACACACACACACTTCTACCGCTGTCTGGTGTCATTAAACGCGTCCGCATGCAAAGTTGACCCACAACAAAACAAGCTCTGATGTCACAGGCTCAGGGTGTTGGCACAGTGATGGCAAAAATAGGCGGTCTGGATAACAAGCGACGGGGTCGTTAGCAGTAATTACCCAGAATGCCGTTGTTTGTGTCTGCGTGCCCGTGGTGGGCTGCCACATTGCTAACTGACTATGGCGTTTTTAAAAAGGCCTTAAAACCCTTTTTTGTTTTTTTTGTTTGTTTTTGCCGTCGCTGGGAAAGCGGGCTATCGGCGTAAATGAAAGCGAGAAGCAGCGGAGCCGCTGTGGGACCGCTGGCACTCGGGCCAACGCTGCTTGTTTGCGAGGTCTTATAATCCCCGGCTAACTGCCTCTTTAGGCCGGGGCCTCAACACCTCTCTAATCATTACCACACCACATCCACCGGAGCCGGAGCGCCGCAGCGTGTCATTTGCCGGCAGTTTGAACGTCATCCCCGGCCTGTAGCGGCTTGTTGGGACCGGCGCTGGCACCGACCCGTTCCTCCGCCGGCGCTGACGATCCACGTCTTTGCTGACTGGAAGAGGCTCAGTTTCTCCCTCCGGGCAAACGGGACCTCACACATGATCGATTTTCAGAATGGCATTTGTAGTTCACTGGTTCCCCCGAAGCTGGTTGATTTTAGTGTTTTGAAAAGCTCATTTCTTGAACGTTGGTGAATTGTGAGTTTTTTTTTTTTTTTGTTTGCAGTTTGTAAGCTCATATTAAAAAATACAAAATGGAAAGTAGTCGTCCAACAGCTCACCACATCTGTTCCTTCTTGTTCCATTACTCCCGTCAACAGCTGATGCTTTTTCAATGACTGTTTGAATGTTTTTGAATGAACATTTTTAGTAATCCGTGTGAAACTCGCTGACAAACGTATTGCATTTTCTGTGTCGGTTTCATGTTGCATACTTTTCATATGAAACCGCATATTTTTAAAATGCTCCGCTTGAATTAAAAGAAAGTTTTTCCGATTGTGCAATTGGCTGTTGTGTTATTATGGTGATGTAACAGACTTTTATAACAGCAAAAAAATGAATTAAATTAATTATTTAAACAGGAATGGTATCATTTCCTTCTCAAATGTGTGTAACAACAATACAGCAAGTATTTACTTGGACTTAAAATGTCTGTAAAGAGTTAAACATGTCGTCCTTGTTTTTGTCAACTAAGCGATAACCAAACCAGCCAGTCAGTTTCTTCCCATCGGGATGGAAACCGCCCTCCCCCTTTTGTCTCCCCCGTTCAGTCTTTCCTGCTTAACATATTTGTGTGTACACACACTCTCTCTCCTGAGCAGCACATTAAAGATTTTCTCTTCATTCAGCAAGTATTAATAAGGAAGGCGAAACTCTTACAACCTTCCCCTGGTATGTGAGCAGGGAGCAGAAGAGCCCCGAGGGCAGTTTAGTGAAGGTTAGCGATGAGTTAAGGAGTCCGGTTGGACGGGCAGAGGGGGGGGCGGTGCTCCTGGTGTCTGTCAACTTGATGGCTCACCAGTACTGGAGTCAGCGGTCCAAAGGCGAGATTAGCATAACAAGCCTCTCACTGAAGGGTTCGCAGTGAATGGGAGGAAGGGGTGTAAGAGTGACCAGGGATGGGGGTGATGTGGGGGGCTGTAGCCTATGCTCCAGATGGGGGTAGACCCACAGCAGCTGGGGACTGGCTCCCGCATCTCCGCTCGTATGTCATCTGTTGTGCGTTTTGCGCGCGTTGCAGACAACTAGTAAGCAGGCGCACAAGCTCCCGACACAAAGTCTGTCAAATGTCGCACAGACGCCCCGCTGCATCGCTCACCTAAAACTGAATTGTGTGGGGAGTCTGTTCATTGTGTGTGTGTGTGTGTGTGTGTGTGTGTCCCGGCCTTCTAACCGCCTAATTGGGGATCATTATTAACTTGTGAGTCTCATTGGGCCAGAGAGAGAGGATTGATTGTGGACGTCTCCTGCTCCCTCCATCCTGTGTCACCTCTCCCCTACGGGATGGAGTTTATACTGATAGTGGAGATGAGGATGATGATGAGGGCCGGCCCGGTCAATGGGCAGGCATTGCAAACTAAACCCGTAGGCCGTTGTAACGTCTCGTTCCACGAAACTATGTTGACGCTCTAAACTCAATAAAATCCGTTCTTGAACGAGCTGGGTTTTTTTTTTCCCCGAGACCCAAACTTGTTTGAGTTCTCAGGCAGTGTTTGTGAGCACGATCAGTTCTCATGGCTCCGCGCTCGTTAACCGAGACTGATAAAGAGTCTGTTTTTAACCGCGCAGCATTACAGAAGTTGGCAGACGAAGCGTTGAAAGCGTGCTCTTGTGTTTCTTTTCTTTCTATGAAGAAATTTACTAAGCGCGCAGCCGCTTTCTGTTCCACGCATCCACTCGGCCTCCGTCACGCTTTTTACAGGGACTTTTTAAGTTTTTAATTTGTTTTAGAAAAAGATCTGCCCCGGGTTGTAATTATAATGGTGGAGCACACAAGGCCGCGTTGTTGGCCTGTAAACAACCAACCAGCCCCCACTGGCTCTCTGCTAGCGGCCCCCTCCCGTTGACTCAAGGCTGTTGGACCATTAGACTAGCGTGGACTCAAAACGCCTGCAAAGGATGTGTTGTGTGAGTGCATTGCCAAAGTCAAGCGTTTGTTTGCAGGAACTTCATCTTGACTTGGAGGTGTGACACAAAAATAAGGCGCACAATGAAGTCTCTCTCGTTTTTCATGGAGTAAGAACGAGGAAACACTCGCAGTGTTTTACTGTGTAATCTCCGGGAGAAAGAAGCTGGGTCGTGGCTCGTTGTCGAATGCGTCATTCGCTACCAAACTCTGGTAACATCCCTTTTTGTGTGTGTGTGTGTGTGTGTGTGGCTGTGTGTGTGTGTGTGTGTGTGTTGTTTGCGTAGCCTCATAGTCACAAACGTAGTTTTAATTTAAACCCACCGCCAATAAAATGCGCCTACTGGTTTACACGCGGCTCGTAACTAGAAAGGACGCGGCCTCAGAAGCTCCAAGTGACGTCTTGTTGGCCACGGCTGCGGGGTCGGCACCTGTCCGTATCTCACACACACACACACACACATAGGAACCCACACGCTGATGCTGCTTGCACATGCACACAGACGTTCGCAGGGACTTTGCACATACACGCACCACTTCAGAAAGAGGGCACGCTTAAAAGGTTATGGGTCTGTCGTGAATCGCTTCGGTTGATTCCTTTCTGTGTAATGAAAGCAGTGCTAATGAAGTGAGTGTTCACTACAAACGGGCCAAACCGAGGTTGTGCCTCTGATCTTTCACACAACCGCTCGCACCCTCTTCATGTTCACGGTGGACGCCTGTTTGTCAAGCATCTGTCCTCCTTTCTTCTAAAACTTCAATCTCGTTAATGGCGCAGATCAGATGAAGGAGATGTCTGTGTGCGTCTTTTTAATCGAGCGGAAGTTAACCCGCTCGACACACACACACACACACACTACAGATGCGCACTCGCAGACCCCGCGTGTCCTCTCCATACATCACCCAGCATATTGTGGGAGCCACTTCCAATCCGCTAACCCTTTTTCCCGCGGCACAGTAAACGGCACAAAGTGGCTCATTAATATTCCAGCCTGCTCCAGCGTGCGCTGAGAATATTTGCGGTGGGGAGGGCGGGTGAGGAGTTGGACACCCGCTGCCACTCACCCGAATCTGGTGCCCTGGAGCCGGACGAGCGAAAGTGGCCGAGGCGAGAGGTGGTTCTTTCCCTGAGGAATCACTTCCCCAGAAAGAATCTTGCTTGCCAGACGATAGCGTGGCACACTTTCCCTTTTTTCTTCTGTTGCCACCAGAGAAAATACCAAAAACCCTCCAAACAGACGGCTCCTCCTTGTTGTTGTGTTGGTGCATCTCAGGTCGCTCGTTGTTCCTCCTGTATCGCTCTTTTCCGTGTTTTCATGTAGCAACAGAGTTGCATCTTGTTGTGAACTGCGTGCAGTTCGGTGGGGTCATTTTTTACAAATGTACAATTATTAGTGTTACAAATTGTTTGTGTCACAAGCTGTTGTGTCGTGTTTTACGCTGTTAGAGTTTTTGTGTGTTATTCATTGTCGTAAGACAAGTAGCTCTGAACGCTCCCTGATGACGTGTAACAATGTATGTGCTATGTACGGTATGTGAAAAATTCATTCCGTAATGATACCGTTTCAGCAGGTGCACCATGTGGCGTTCTACCGCCGTAAACAAGTTTTCTTCATATTTCCATCCCTCCTCTGCTCTTTCCTCTCCATCTCTGAACCCCTCCCTCTCCCCCTTAACTCCACTCCTTGGATTCACACACGCACATTGTCTCCCCCCCCCTAGGGGGCGGTGTGTAGTTGTGCCGTGCTAACGATCCCCTACTGTCACTCCCGCTGGGATGGATGAGCCGGCGGGCCGGCGCTCAGGAAGCCTCATTAGGATTCCTCTTTAATCCGTCTCTGACAGGACCAGTCCGAGGACGGGATGTCCCCCTCCCCGCCCCCCATCTCTCTCTCTCTCTCTCTCACACACTCTCACACACACACACACACACACACACACACACACACACACCTACATAGACAATGTCACAGAATTGCACAGCACACGCGAGCACAAGTGCACTTGCACAATGAACAGACTCCCCCAACACACACAGACACACACATTGTTATGCTAATGATGTGTTATTCTTCCAACAAGGATCTTCCATCATCCCGGTGTCACTACCTATAGAAATCCACTACAGATCATAAGAGCTTATTATGGGTGATTAGTTAATTTGAGGGAGAGTTGGTGGGTGGGGGGGAGGAGGGGGGGATGCTGGGAGGTAGGAAGAGAAAGATCGTTTTTCCTTCTCTGCTTGTTGACTCCGCGTCGCTCTCTCTCCTCTTTAGTCTTTGCTCTTCTTCTTCATTCCTTCTCCCCTTCACGAGATGTATTGATCGGCACATTGACCGTGTTATCAATAATCTCCTCTTTAGGCGTCAGTGATCTCCCCTAATGAACCAGCACAGTTGTCACACGGCTCTCTGTGTGTTTTGAGGTACGGTTTTATTTCCACTTCTTCACTGCGTATTAGACACATGGTACACAGGAGGGTCAAACACTGTCCAACAGGCCGAGTCTGTCCCTAAACATTAGATATCACACAACTAGACGATATAAATGACTAAAAAGGGCTAAATCGTGTTTGTGTGATTGGTGTGCGTGTGTTTGCAGCGGTCCGTAGGCAGCAGCAGCGTGGGCTCCGGCCTTTTATTATGTGGCCCTAATGACCTGCTGACAGCTCAACACTGACACTTACACACACACACGTACAGTGTGCTCGTACAGGCAACATCATACACTTGACAAAAGAACAGCCAATTAAATTAGGGGGAGGGTGAAAGGAGATGTATATTTGTGAATATACAGTAAGTCTCGTCTCTGCTGGGAAGTCTGATAATGTGATATCAGCTGTTTTGTCCCCAGTAATTCCCTTTTAATTATTAACAGCAACATTATTAAGCTTTCACTATTAAGAGGCCTTTCATTAGAGCCCAATGACACCCTGAAGAGCCATTTGAACTCTTTCCCTTTCTCTTTTCTTCCTTTGCTTTTTTTAGAGTGGAAAAGTCACTTTGCACACTCGATCGCAGCCTTTGGACTTCTGCATTACTTTTTTAAGTTGTGTGTGTGTATACTGTATATAAGGTTAGCATCATTTATTTTTATTTACTCAACCCATATTTAACTAGTTAAGAGCAACAAGATTGACTGACGTGTCTGTAACAACAACCAATCTATTTCATTTCTATAATTGTACTTATAAGAGCTAGAGATTTAAAACGAGGTTCAGAGAAAACGTTTATTCTTTCTGAATGGCTACAGGTGGGACTGTGTGAAAAGTGCCATACAAGTCCATTTTATCACGATGAGAATTTACCCTGAGTGGCTTTAATAACCAGGCAGTACCAGTAGTGAGAGTGAAGCAATAAATCCTGTAGGACTTTACAATTTCTCACAAATCTCTGCGCGGCGATCTTCATTATGCAGCAAACAATGAGTGAATGCATTCAGAGCCACGTACAAATGTAGCAGAGATCTGTGTCCTCCGAGCCTCAATGGAGAAACATTCTGTGTGTGTGTGTGTGTGTGTGTGTGTGTGTGTGTGTGTGTGTGTACAGTATGTAGATAGCAGATTGCAATCAATGGAGCTAATCAATGAAGCATCAAAGGGGACGCCTCCATTGAAGAGGAGACTCAGGACGGCTGGGTCCAAACCAAGAGCTGAAAAGGGGTCGGTTCTGCAATAAGGACTCTGTGGAGTGGGCAAAAGGGGGGTGTGAGGGGGGGGGGGGGGTTGTAGTTACCTCCCACAACATGGCACGCTCCTTAAGCCATCAGGCATGGGGAGGGACGCCTAATTGAACATGATAAAGTGTAAAGTTAATTACCCCTCACGCCTGTCACTGATACCCCCATGGGGGGGACGGGGGGGGGCTGGCCTCAGGCACAGCTGTTGGTGTGTTTGTGTGTGTGAGAGAGAGACGGAGAGAGTAAGGGTGACAGGACAAAAGGCAAGGGCTCCCACGAGGGTTGTGCAGAAGATGATGGCAACAATCGCCTTTTAAAGATGCCTCCGTCCCTCTGGCGCACCACTACTTAACACGCCGTTCCCTCTATGAGCCCAACACATAAACACACACACAGACGGAGAAAAGTGCACAGCTGACCTTTTAGACGCAGTTGTACTAGTGTTGAAACAGTCAAGTGGTTGATTTATTATGTTCTTTTGTTGGGCAAATCCATATATGTTAGTTGGATACACCTGTTTGCTTGTGCTCACCTACACTAGTTAAGTTCATCTCGCTCTTCAACCTTGAATACGTTTTGATGGTTGTTGCAGGTCCACAAGTCCGGGTGGAACCATTTCAGAGAATCAGGGTGGATAAGTTGGTCCTGTGTACCACTGACTCGGACACCGTGTGCGTTCACCCCAGGTGGCCTCAACACGGAGGTTGAACATGTGTTTTGTGTTCAGGTGTCGGGGCTGCCAGCTTGGCCAAGTTGACCTTCATGGTGGGGGGAGTGGAGGAGGAATACAACGCTGCGCAGGAGCTGCTTACCTGCATGGGAGCGAATGTTGTCTACTGTGGACAGGTCGGCAATGGACAGGTAAAGAAGACACAGGCGTGCAAACCCACGTTACACTGTAACTTACTTTAAAGTGAGTTTATATGTCCGAAGTAAAGGCTTTTCCTAACTGATAGCAATATTTATTCCTAAATTCCAATGTCCATGCCCAAATTTATGAATCAATTCTGAAGCTGCATCATTAGGTTTTTTCTTTTTAGATTAATCTACATTCTGTATTCTGTGCATACCTCTTAATATCCACACAGTAAAAGTGCCTTTTTCTGCTTTTCTTGTCAATCTTCTCTAGGCAGCGAAGATCTGCAACAACATGCTCCTGGCCATCGGGATGATTGGGACCGCAGAGACCATGAACCTCGGCATCAGGTATTATCCGGCACGGCTGCGTTAAGCTGCTTCACACCAGTTAAACAATGCGAGGATGATACGCTGGATTTACATGGGAAAGGTTAATGTCGCTGTAACCCTCATTGGTGGAGCACAGGAATTATGACACAGGGAAACCTGTGAGTGGGCTATTAAACGTGCACCAAGCGTGCCCTTTTATTTATTCAAATAGCTGTTCCATAGATGCAGTGGGGTTCCTATTCTTTTTTTGGGGGGATGTTGAGCAGGAGACTTCCCCTCCTGAGTCAGCAAATGAAGACATTTTGGTTACAATACCCATGGACTCAAACGTGGAGCTTTTGAGGCTCCCACACGGGTGAATTTGGCTTTGAGCCTTTGATACAGCCGTCACTATGAAAACTATCACTGCACCAGTGATGTGGCAATAACCGGGGCAGTAATTTACTACTTCAACACGGGTTCGGAAACGCGTGCGCATGCGTGTGTGTGCTTTATAGGAGTGCAAAGGGGTCAACCCAGCCCCAAGTTCGGGACGCCTCTCCCGGAGAAAGATGGATGAGGGGGAGGAGCCACAGACTCTTGATTTGCATCTGCTGATTGAGTCTCCCCAGTATCCTGTCAGAACCCTGTCAATGATTGTTTTTTGTTACCAAAACATTTTCTATGACCTGAAAGGATTCAAGAACAAGTCTCCCTATAGTGCAGGTTCCCTTCAGAATCTACCTTTATTTTGTGGGGTGTGAAAATTAAGCCCACACATTTACCGGAGCCATCAGAAAAGTCCTTCACCCTTTGGAAGTGTGAATTTATCATTTACTTTATTTATACATATCCCTGTCAATAATAGACTGTTTCCTCTGGTCATTGTGATACTATTATGGGTCTTGCGACTTTGTGTGTGCGTGTGCGTGTGAATTGCTCTTCTCACAGTGCGGCTGTGTTAGTGCCGCAGATTTATCTGTACTGAAACCGAGGAGGAAAATTGGCATGAGCAGTCGCACATAAATCCCCCCACAAGGCCTCTGAAATATGGAGGCATTAAGGGAGCAACACAGATTTACACATTGCCACACGGTCTCTCTTACACACATGCATGCACGCGCGCACGCACACACACACACACAGATTTACATGCACTGACACTGAAGACGGCAATTTTCTACCAAACTACAACAGTTTCTGCTCACATCATTATAACAACTAGTAACTACTGCATCCCTTTACTTTCTATGTGAATTATGCTTTTTACATGCAGAACTGTCCCCATTTTCAGTGTGTGTGTGTGTGTGTGTGTGTGCGCCCACATGCACGGTGCTTGTGTGTGTCTTTCCATGTGCCCCCCAGCCCCCCTTCTTGCTAGCCAATCTCGGGGGCTTTATTATAGGGTTTGACAAAGACTGTCAGCGTTTAGAGAGCCCCCACACCCGTAAATCTCCCATGCTGCATTGCGGCCCAGCCTCTTATGCAGAGAGGGTGCTCTCTTAGGCGTGTGTGTGTGTACAGACGCACACACAACACAATCCGACACAAAGCAGCTGAGCACCCGCAGCCAATTTACAGGAAAACGGCTTTAAGATTTTATTATGCTGGACTTGGGCCTGATAGTTTCCCTTTCTTCAGATAAGTGTTTTTGTGTGTTTTCCCCTCACCTGCCTACATACAGACACTACACACACTCAGACTCACACTCACAGACACGTCTCTGTTCGCGGAGCTAATTTGTTGATCTCGGATGGAAGCTCGGGCCCGTCTCCAACAGAGCGTGGCGTTCTCTTAGTGCAAGGAATGGCCACGCATGACAATTATGAACACGCACAGGCGCACACCCTGCACGTCTGCCGCCATTCCCCCCTCCACACTTTTCGAGTTTTGTTCCCGTCCCTATTTGCTGGACCTCCTCATTTTAAGCTTTGCTTTTAATCCCTTGATTTCGCCGCTGCCTCCGGGGGAACAGACACACACATCTCTCTCTCCCCCCTAATGAATAAGCAACATATGTTGGGATAAAGGGTGATAAACGCGCTTAAATGAGATAGTAAAGTGTGTGTGTGTGTGTGTGTGTGTCTGCGCCCGTTAGCTCTTTAATATAATAATAAATGGCGAACAGGTCGGGCTTCCTCTCCTGTGTTATCGGACCAGGACGAGGAGCTAATTGCAATGAACTCCACCTGCTAGAGCTCCCCGGTACATAAACACCGTCCCCGCTTTCCTCCGCCTCCCGCTCACATTTCTTTAATGTGCGTCGGCATCGCACGGCAACACGTTCGCATCTTTGTGTTTCTATCCATGTCAATCTTGTTAACGCGTGACGTGTCCTCTTCTCCACGCAAATTACTGCAGGCGAGGAACGACTCCACTGCGTCAGCTAATAACCGCGGCTGTGCGTGTGTGTGCGTGTGTGTGTGTGTGTGTTAGAGGAGCAGGAGGGGAACTTCATTGATTTATCGTTAACTGAGGACAACAGCTCCCCGTCAGCGTCTCTGGTCGCTATAACAAACGATCTGCGCGCTCGGACGCGCTTTATTGTAGCTCAGCCAGTAACCTTTTCAGCTGCTGACCCAGAACGCAGGGAGGGGCCGTGTGTGTGTGTGTGTGTGTGTGTGTGTGGAGAGATGTGTGTGTGTGGGGCGGGGGGGGGGGTGCGCGATGTCAAACACATGTCCCCCAGAGTCCTCAGACAGGGAGGTGTCAGCTGGGGAGACGAGGGGGAGGAAGAGGAGAAGCGAGGCAGGATGGCGACGGATGCTTTCAGACATAAACTGAAAAGGCCGTCATGAGCGAGACTGCCGTTAAGAAATTGCCAGCGAAAAAGGAAAAACGTCTTTTACGAACCCACGCACGCCAGGCCGCTTTTCCAAAACACTTTGGATTAAAGAAAAATAAACACACACAAAAGCGGCAAAGGAGGAGGGAGGGACACGGCTAGAGTGTAAACGCAATTCACATTCTTAATTAGTCAGCAGACAGCTAATAAAAACCCGTGGTAGTAATGGCAGAATGAGAGCCAGGTGGAGGCAGGGAGGCTGATGGCCTTAAGGACCTATGATGGTTTAACAGTCATATTGAGAGCAGAATAGAGTTACAGGCCTGTAAGTAACGGTGGAGTGAGGCAGCCAGGGCTTGATGTGGTCACGTTTTCACAATGGCCTTTAAACCGTTCGCAGCACTGCAGACGGTGTAGTTACACCCTCTTCACTGCAGTGGTTGACACGTTTTTTTTTCCTCCTCTTTGCCAGTTCTTGTTGTAGCCTGAAATGTGTCCTATATGGAAGTGGGTTGTGGCAGAAGTAAGAGCGCACTTCTTTACATGACAGCGAGGTTTATTGCTCCCCGGTGCTGCTTAACCACTTCTCCTCCTCCTCCTCTCTTTTTTCCCCCATGAACGAGTGATGATGAGGGATAGATGTGCTGTTAAACATCAATACTGCATTAGCCAGCATTACAAAGCCTTCAGCCATTAACATTGAGGAATGGTCCCAGACTAGCATAAAGTTCAATTGGGGTCACCACAAGCACCAGCCGTCCCACACCCCATCTTCCTGTGTTCCTCTTTCTGCCCCGTGCTGAAAAAGGAATAGATATTATCAATGATCTTATATCCCGTCGGTCCCATTTCCTCACTGTTTCTACATAATTCCTCTTTCCTACACCATCGCCACCGTCAACCGCGTCCCGATTCCTCGGTGCGTAAGATCCTGATCTTTTCCTTCTCCTTTCGCCAGACTGGGTTTGGACCCCAAGCTGCTGGCACAGATCCTCAACATGTCCTCAGGTCGCTGCTGGTCCAGCGACGTGTACAATCCGGTCCCCGGCGTCATGGAGGGAGTCCCCTCGGCCAACAGCTACCAGGGCGGCTTCGGAACCACACTGATGGCCAAGGTACAGCCTGCTCCCGGTCTTTGTGTCACTTGTGTCAGTGTTTAGTCTATGAATAAAAACAAATGTCCCACGGCCCGAGCCGACGTCAAATCCTCGTTTCCCAACTGGACCCACAATGACGGATAAATACAACGGCGAAATAGAAGCAAATCGTCCCATCTGAAAAGGTGTAAGCAGCAAGTGTTTGGTATTTTCCCTCCGGCTAAATGAGCCGATGAATCATTTATCAAGTTGTTGCCATTTCATTTTCTGCTGCTACCATTATTCTTGCTTTTTTCTTCGTCTCTCAACCCTGCAATTTACTCCCTGTTTACTGTTCTTTTGTGTGATGCTCCTTTTTACTCGACCCATCTGTGCCTTCATTTTACCGTCTCTCTGTATGGGCCAGTTTGCATACTTGGAACAATTGGTGAATCTGTAGGTCTATTAATACACTTGCACTGTGCAGTTTTATCTGACAAAATTACACTTTCCTTCTTACAATCACTTCTTGCTGCCGTCTTTGGATGAACAAAAATAGATTATAGATATTAGTCCAACATTCTAACACTCTCATCCATTTTCTCCCTGTGTCTCCATTTCCAGGATCTTGGTTTGGCTCAAAACACTGCGACTAACACGAAGACACCCATCCCTCTGGGTTCCCTGGCCCACCAGATCTTCAGAGTCATGTGCTCCCGCGGCTACGCTAACAAGGACTTCTCCTCCGTCTTCCAATTCCTGCGCGAGGAGGAAGGGCAGTGAATGCAGGGGGAGCACAGTTTACTGTGACGTTACCACACATAAACACACACACTCTCATGCGCACACACACATACACACACACACAGACACACCAGTGCCCCTTATCCCGTTATGCTCAGGAGAGACTAAGGCCGTGCCCTCAAGCACAGAGCGGCAGTCCAATTAACATACAGTATGTCGGCACGTGTTCCCTGATATCATGTTTTCAATTCCCGGCTCTCCCTCTGCATGGGGGACATGCAGAGAATGACCTTAGATCAGCATCTGGAGACAAAGAAAACTCTCTTCCCACCCTGCAAGGAGAGGCCTGAGTGAAAAATGAGAGGTAGGAAGGGACACGGCTGGTTTCTATGTACCAGTGGAGATAATGTGGGTTTTCCACATTGAAGGTTCTAGGTGTGCTTTTGTCTGGTTCTTGCTCATTGACTGCTGCCCGAATGCACTGACCTGTCAATGAAGGGACTGAAAAGAAGACGTGCGGTATTACATGGTATTAGACATTTCATTGAAGGGACAGTACAGGAAAGTGCAGAAGGAGAGGAAATCTTCTGAGCCCTACATGTGAGGTGACCAAAGACAGCCACGCCAAGGCCTCAAAGTTCACTCGTTTTGTTACATTTTTTGGTGAATCGACCACTTAAGCTCGTTTTGAAAACTATGATTATATACCTGGTTATTTTTGCACTGTGTGCATTGGAATGCAATGTGCCGGGCCATTTTGATAGTTACACAATCTCTTTGACCTACAGTAACCTCTCTTTGATGTCTACGTCTGCTTATTGAGCCACTAGAGTATTATTTTTTTGACCAACACTGTCTGAATTTTATACTGTTCACTACAAAATATGGTTGTCATTCTCGAGCACTCGGTTGGTTCCCCGTTTTGACTTCAACTAAGTCTGTCCTCACTCATTTCTTCTGTCACCGCCTCTCTGTACTTGTATAACGTGTATGTAAGTGAGGAACGTTCCTCTCAGCTCGGAACAAATGTACATAATGTATATTTACGTATTGTTGCATAGTGTTGAAGAGAAACCTAACTGGACTGTCACTTTTTGTAGTAAATTGTATTAATAGTGGCTACAGTTTTGTTTATGCTCTGTGAAACAGATCTTCAGTCACCCTGCCGCCTCAAAATAAAAGATCTTCCGTGTATTTGATGTCAGTCTGGTTTGGTTTCACTGGAGTAAGACTTGAAAAAGGCCTCATACTCTTTTCTCTTTGCATGTTGCAAAGCTTTAAAACCCTCAAGACTCAACCACTGATTAGTTGTATAAGCCACGGCCGAAATGCACATCTGATAGTGAGATCATGTTATATAACTATACTAACTATAAATCACAACTTTTACTTATAAATTATAAATCTAAATGTTTATATTTTTACAAGAAAAGCATTTGACTGGTACTGTATATATTGGAGTAATTTTATTCGAGCAGCAGTGGAGCGAAGGGCCTCTTCGTTGTTCATTCATGGTTGTCTATTTACCATCGTGTGTAGCTGGGAGGCTACAAAGAAAATCAGGACTGTTTCTCTTCATTCTCTTATAGAAGGCCGTAGAGTCTGAACACAGTCACAATAAAAAAAAAAATGCGCTTAGATACGGCTTGTGTGGCACGTTTTTCATGCCTTCATTATACGCATGCTAACATGCTTATGATGGCAGTTCTAAGATGCTGATGTTTGTAATGTTAAACGTCTGAAGGACCAGTAAAGCTGTCACGTGATTTTGAAAGTATTCGGTATCTCCTTCAGGTAACCCAAACTTGACTTAATAACGTGACCATCAGGACCTGAACACTACGTAGCCTATTGTATAATCCTTTGCTCTTTCACACCGCGGTCATCTGTGTTTAAGACTTCAACGCGGAGCCTCCAAATAAGTCGCTCTTCGGTGCTTTGCTGTTGCGTTTGTATGCGAGGCGCTCGTATAACGCTTAACGTCGATCGGGGAGACGTAGCGGCACTAATCTTAGAATGATGCCCTTATTTCCGTCATTACAATGAAATGGGGGGGGGGAAAAACAAACGCGGTTTTGTTTTATTTCACCCTTTTCTTTTCGGGAGGGGCGACATTTTATGGAGCGTCAGTCGTCTTAAGTGGCCGCCGCAGTCGGGCGGGCTGCTGGTGGCGGGTTTGTGTCGTGGGCCTGTGACTCACTCCGCTATTGCTGCTCCTGTGGAAGTATGCACTTTTAATATCTTCATCTTTAAATAAAAGATGCGATGCGTCTGGGTTCGTTGATAGAACATCTCGATGGAGGTGCTGGAGTCCCCTGTGGAGCAGGATTTGTGTCCTTCAGCCTCGGACACTCTCCTGACCTTGTGTAGACAATTCACTCCCCGAGGTCTGGCCTAAGCAGAGCAACGCCTCTGCGCCGGTCCTCTGAATTAGACAGCGTAGCTGATTCATATTTGGGTGTTTTAATTTGCATGTGTTTTACGGCCTGCCGGCGAGCCGGCGGTTTCCTCGTTAAAGGGCACATGAAAGCAGGCCGTAAAGGAGCCTCGGCGAAGGCCGGACCGCGCTGACGTCTGACGAGGGACTCGGAGCGACCGAAGGACCGGCCCGGGTCCCCCAGCCAGCCGGTCTGAGCCGGAGGGCCTCGCCCACTCAAACCGGCAGCCAGCGGTGGGCCACCAGACACACCGCACCGGATTGTGTCCTGGACGGGATGCGACAACAGTCTGATGGGTCTGCCAGGGTTGCATGCAAGACTTGAGGCATTGGAACAACAGTCCGGTGTTACCGGAGATAAATACGTCGTACAATGCTTTTCTTAAGCGCCGCGCTTCTTTCCTCCAGATCACGGGCTGCATGAATTAGAGTTTTCCTTTCCTTGAAATGATCAGCATACACAGATTACCCCCCCCCCCCCCCTACAATCCCACTTTACCATTAAGAGAATAAAACACCCCGGCTGCGAGAGCGTCTACGTGGATGTTATCTTGACAAACAAGGTGTCTATAAACCCAATAAAACCGTGTGGGGCGCTCTCTGCAGTTTCAACACACTCCTCCTTTAAATCTTAAATCCCAACGCGAGGGGGGGTGGTGGGGGTGTCACGGTGCAGGGAGGGGAGCCGAGGTTCCTCTGAGCAACCCCTGTGATTCACGCGAAACGCACGTTTAGTGGCCCGTGGCTAAATTAGAGGCCGGATTCAAGCAGGTATCCCAACTCGCCCGGCGGTGCGTAACGAGCCGCTGGCTCGCTGCGCAGTAACGCGGCCTCGATGTCTTTTACATGAACCCACCAATAACAGTCGGGACTATTTAGCCGGAGCCCATGTCCACACCCAAGGCGTCTGCACAACAGCACAACACCCACACACGTCTTCTTGCTGTTTTGTGGACAACATTCCCCCACCCTGAGTCATTGACCACGCTTAGGTTCATCAGCGAAGATAATCCTATTACAGACAACGTGTCACAACAACAGCGAAGTAGCTAATTATAAGCGAGAAGTCCTCATTAGAATATCTGAGGAGGCGACGCGTGGTGAATTGTTGTCGAACATGGACCCACTAGCTCAAAGGTTCAAAGGTTGCGTCTCAATAGTATGAGTGAGGATCTGAAGGAGAAAAGCTTCTCCGAGCTGGAGACGTGGTGTTCAACGCCGTGCTAATGTGTTAAGTTTAGTTTATTCGATGTGCGCCCTGGTTTCTATTGATACACTCATACTTTCCTATTCCTGTTTTCTCTTACCGCCTTTTCCTCCTGTTTTAAAGTTACACTTCCCTCACCACATTACCCCCCCCCCCCCCCCCGCACACCCTCTGTCGGCTGTGAGTAACGACAACACGCACACTCTATATATCACGGGCTAACGCACATGGTCCGGAGCTCTCCATTGTATTAATTACTCCCATTGGAAGAGTGGTCCTCAGGCCCCGTCAGAATCCATCACAGCTTCGCTCCCACACAGACCCGGGCCCCGGTAATGATCGCCCGTGCCCGGGCTCCGGGGCCCCGTCGCTCCCATCGGACGCACCGGGGTGGGCGCCCTAACACCCGGGAGGCTGTGGCTCCCACTGAGCCACATTCGTCTCTGCCACCAGCTGAGGAGCAAGACGCTTGTGCTGTTTCAGACCCGTAATGGGTGAAGAGAGCAGCAGCAGAGCGTTACCCCCCCCCCACAGGAAGTCCGAAAAACAATTTACAACAGCCTCTGGAACATGAGCATCTTTGGGTTTTATCCGCGGGACGATAATCTTTCAAATGCCAGAATGAAACGTGGAGGCGAAACAAATGTATAAACTGTACAAGCCACTCATTAACTGAATTTGATTTGACTTCCTGAACATTAGTGAAGCGAGTCCAATTTTGTCTCCTATTACCTGAACGCCATGTATCTGTTAATATATGATCGGATATCAGCACCCTTTCCCAATGTTAAATCTGTGTACTGCACTGCAGGGAGGTCCGGACTAAAAACCCGGTCAATGGTCTACCGTTACTTAATAGTAGCACAAGCACAAGATGCCATGGTGACAGAGATGGAGAACCTTGGATTGGTAACATCATGCTCGATTAACGCATGTGCATCAGTTCAGTTTTCTGGACAATTTGATCTAGTTTGAAACAACCCTAAGAAACAACCCCATTAAGCAAACTAGCAGTATTAATTGTCGAGGGGGCACGTTTTATAGCTCTTTCTTTTGCACTTTCTCTAAAAAGCAAATAACAAATTAATTAATGTTCAAGATGCGTTAATTGATGTTAAGCATTTTCACCCATTTATACTGTAGCCTGTATACAAAATGTAATTTGATCTACTCAGATTGTGGGTTTGTTTAATCCAAGTGTTATTTGCTAAAGGGACTCCACATGCTTTTAAAGGATAAGTATGAAAAACATTAAAACCATAATACTGTTTTGGGAGACTCTCATAACTTCCTTGGCCTGTCCATGGCTCTCAGTGTCAAGCCCATTTTCTCTGGATGTAAATCTAAATGAGGCTAAATACTTTCCTAAAGCAGCTTGGCAATACAGCTTTTAGTTGGATCGGCTCGAAGTAAAACACACTGCTCGTGTTCACGGGGGCTGATTCATGTTCTTAAAGTTGTTGGATAACAATGTGTGGCACTGAGGAACAAGCTATGTCATCTTGTTAGCAGCTCTTTGTTAGTTTTGGTCTTTACGTGGAATTCAAGTAAAGCACCAGGCTTTGCACGTGGGAGCCCCTAAAAAGCCCAATTAAGGTTTACACCACTTCCTTTGCATGATACTTTCTGATCTTGAACTTTTCCAAGCCAGTTCAGGACTTCTTGTGACATTGAAACAAGAAACAAACATCTCACGACTCGCTCTTAGTAAACCAGCCATTCGCTTGTACTGAGCGTAGAAACTCTGTGATGGCCTCATCTTGCTCTTCATGGCCAATTGACCCGAAAGCTCACTCCTGTCTCTCTTGCTAATTGAACGGAGAAGGAGTACGAGAGAGGAAGGGAAAGGGAAAGAGGAAGAACGGGAGAGAGAAAACGAGGGGGGGGCTGAGGAGAATGGAACGACGTGATAGAGGAGAGAAGCGAGGGGTGGTGCAGCATGCAAGGCCTCATTGATTGGGCGGTGAGCGGTGCAATGTTTCTCTCCTGACACTTGCACGCATTAAAGCTACATAAACACCCATAATTGGTTCGTTTAGAGCGGAGTGGAGGGAAAACAGCACACACACAGTCGTTCCTAAAATGAAATGCTCATGAAAAGGCATCACAAGCCTGCAGGCGGGTTGGTGTGTGCAGAAAGATGCGTGTGTGAGAGTCACATGTCCCAGTGCTGTACTAAGCAGGAATGATAAAAACCATCCTAAGAGACTTGGTGTGACAATAAGACTCACTTAAGGGAGAGGAAGAAATGGGAGGGAGGTTGCTGACTGTGACAAATTAGTTCTCAAATATCGAGGTTGCCGATTGGCTGCGGGCGTCGGGAGGGAGGGATGCGGTTGGTTGGCTGAGCTGATGGATGGTTATTAATGCAGATCTAATGAAAGAGATATTGAAGTTATATTTGGTGTTTTATGCATTTGTGCAATCCTGGAGCACACAAGTAAAAAGAAGTTATTTGAGAAAATTAAAACAGCCGTAAGAGCCGTGCGTCGTACAGCACGAAGGCCAGTAATTCTATTTCTGTTCCTGAATGGACAATGTGTGCGAGGG